TGTCTCCCAGGTCTGTCGCTGCTGGTGTCCGCCCTTTTCCGTTGGCCATGTAGCATTTCTATTCATTTGTCTCCTGGGAGATAAATTGAAACGCTGCATGGCCAGCGGAGAGAGAATTGAGAACCTCTAACAGGAAAAGGGCGGACATCAACAGTGACAGAGCTGGGCTGCTCATGTCCCCCCTTTTCCGCTGGCCATGCAGTATTTTTATTCACTCGTCTCCCAGGTGATTTCTGTACTTCGCCAAACAGGTTACTGTTGGGGTTCTCAAGGCTTTCTAGGAGTGTCCGCCTTGCGTGTCCGCCTTCCGTCCGGCTTGTCTCCCTTTGTCTCCCTTCTTGTTGGTCACTGTGTCCGCCTTGTCTCCCTTCTGTTTCCCTTTGTCTCCGGTCTTGCTCCCTTCTTGCATGGTCACTGTCCGCCTTGTCTCCCTTCTGTTTCGTTTTGTGTCCCGCCTTGTCTCCCTTCTTGTTGGTCACTGTGTCCGCCTTGTCTCCCATTTGTCTCCCTTGTCTCCGGTCTTGTTTCCCTGCTTTGGTCACTGTGTCCGTCACTGTGTCCGCTTTGTCCGCCTTTTCTCCCTTCTGTCTCACTTCGTCTCCGGTCTTGTCTCGCTTCTTGCTGGCCTTCTTGTCTCCCTTCTTGTTGGTCATTGTGTCCGCCTTGTCTCAATTCTGTCTTCCTCCAATTGGCTGGATCCCAGGCGGGGAAGGAGGGAAGGAGGGAAGGAGGGAAGGAGGGAAGGAGGGAAGGAACCTTTTGTCTCCCTTCTTGTTGATGTCTCAAAAAGTGGACTTGGGAATGCTTCGTTGCTGTCCCACCTGTTTGGGGTCTACGGTGGTGTAATTTTTTGTTTTTGGGCACGTTTTGGCAGACCAGCCAAAACCAAAAAAACACAAACAATCAAAAGTTCAGACCCATGGAGAGGGACCCAGGAGAGGCTAGACAGGAAACATAGGTCTGTTTTTTAATTTTTGGGAACTTTTTGGTCTAAACTGTTCTTTTTTGTGTGCGTGTCTATTGTTTGCAGAAACTATTTGCATGTGCTAATGTTTGCATATCACTACCCTCACAAAAACATGCGTTTCGACAATCTACACCACTCCACCCCCCATGGCTACCTCTTCTGTATATATATATATACATATTCATAAATACTTTGTAAAATGCTCTTTCCCTTGCTTCGCTGCTCACCCTTCTGCTTCTTGATTCTTGAGTCTTGTTTAGTTTTTGGTGTTTTTTTTGCGCTTGAGTTACTGCAGGTGCCTCCCAGCATGCACAGCTACAACTTTTGCTCTCGCAACGCAGTGCTGCTGACAAGGCCTATGCACAGGCAGGATGGTGCACCAACCAGGCACATTACACTCAAAACCAGGCCTACCCAGAGGCTTCTCCAGTCTGGCAAATGCAGCAAGGTTTATTCATTGCTTGGTTTACCTCTTGTGCAAAAGTGTAGGTACGTATTACTTGGAGGTTTTAACTGTGAGTTGGTGCCCTGCAATCACAGGCGTTGGTCCGGATGCCAGAGCAGGACATGGAAATGTTTTGCAGATGTAAACGAAATCCTGGTATTCAAGCATTGCTTTGTCAGGAGGGAGACGTTGCATCAGAAAGGTCACGAACCTAGCCATCGTGCATCTTCGCTCTGGACATGCAGGGATATGCATAGACATCGTGCAGGTCATATATTTGGACCAAGGATAGTTTGGGCGCTGGAAGGAACATTGTGTTTTTCTTTGACGGATGGTCTTACATACCACGCTTGCATGTGAAAGTTGCTGTGTTTGGGGCCCAAGCCTATCAATTCACTTTTGAGGTAGTCGTCTAAATTTCCTCTTGTTTGAAGCTCAACACAGAACTACCCCTGCTGGAAGTGACTGGTCGAAGATCATCGTGAAGAACCACTCTTCCAAGATGAGAACAACACTCATGACCACGACACTTCCATGCATGTGATTACCGGAGAAACTGTCCTTCGTTCCTTCCTTTGGTGGAGCCATGAGTTTGGGTTGGCTGACAGAAAGTTCCCTGATTCCAAAAGAGCTGAGCCCTCAGAAAAGCTCAGCTATGTATGACTAGGTTCTTTCAAGCTTTCATTCTATTGTTCTTTTGCCTTTAGCAATGAAGCCTCTTACTTTTTGCTGATCAACTTTTACACCTGAAGGCTTGTAAGTATCAGCCAATGGCACTGCGACATCAGTCAGGCCAAAGCAAATCGGAGGAGTAAGCACCTCTTCTCTGTGAGGAGCTTAGCCAGCAAGCTTCTCCGCGATCCGTTCCATTTGACTTTGGTTGAAGAGGAAGCATGAGGCACAAAGAATGGCATTTGCTGCTTGTCCAAGGCTGAATTTGCAGGCTGTTGTTTACGACCGCGAGCAGCGCGGCAATGTGCCTTCTGCCTGGTCCTTGCATCTCTGAAATTCTGCGCAGACAGCTCATCTGTAGAAGGGTGGCCTTGGCTGAACTGAAATGAATAAACTCGGGCAGACAATTTTCCACGATTCAACATCTCGTAAAGCTTCAGCAGAACTGCACTTTCTTGTTTCCTAGATGGACAGAAAAGCCTCGGGGGGCACTTTTGCTCCTTGCTTCCTTACATAATACAGTACTGTTGCTGCCCCTCCCACCTCCTTTTCATCTTTGATACCAATCAAATCATCTCACAGGTCTTTGGCGCAAGTGTGAGTCCCTCCCTTTGTGTTTGTCCATTTGCGTTGCTGCCATGGTGGAAATTGTCATGCGAGCAATCTATTGAGGAAATTTATACTAGGGAAGAGATCGCTACTAAAGTTAGGTCGAATCGTGTCAGCTTTGGTATGGACCACCTCTCCTCTTGGGCAAGTTGATGTCATTTTTCTTGTGGAAGCTTTCATTGCGATTTAGAATGGCCACTCTAATCCTTGAGTTTGACTCCGTGCTCCTCCCAGATGAGAATTTCACTATACCACCTGCCTTCTGCTGGATTGGGGTCCCCAGCAACTGGATCTCCGCCTTGCCTTGCAGATCCACTTTTTATATAGATTTGTCCAGGTGGCGTTTCATTCCTTCTGACTTCTCACAACCAATGTTTGACTTGGCGATTCTGTTTGGAGAGGCTCCAGTTAGACACCCCTGAAGGATTGATTGCTGGCTTAGGCTATGCACTGACGCGCCCAGGTCACACCTTTCAATTCCAGCCCCTGCAAAGGGTGCATGTGAGCGAACATTTTCGAAATTTATTTCCGAGGAATCTTGTACATAAACGCTGCGCTCTCTCCTCTTGTGCCTGCTGACGTGTAATCCGTTGGCTTCTGCTTGTACATTACGCTTGAAAATAAGTAATCTCACAGCAACTCAGACAGTGCTGTGTGTTGGGCGGGGTTTGTTACGTTGTGGTTGTGGTATTTTGTGCTTGTTTGTGTTGCCTGCTTGGGTCATGTATGACCTCAGCCGGGCACAATACTTTTGAGTTTGCTGATGTCAACTTGTCAACTCACATTTCTCTATACCTCGATTCACACCCCTTGTCATTCTACTCACCTGCTCTTCCTTTCACTTATATACTATCTAGAGCCAGTCCTTCTTCTGGAATGTTCTTGGTCCACAATCTTGCTCAACGTGTTATCATATGACATCCATAACCACAGTTTTAATATTACCATGCTTGTCTTTCCCAACTTGCCCAACTTCCCGAGTCTCTTTGTCTCACTTTGAGGCAAAGCGCCGCAAAGCAGCAGTCAGGAACCCAGGACTCACAGACTAGCAGAGGTGTGTACTTACGAGGACGACCCTCAGGCATCAACATACAAATTGATCGGTTCCAAATTTGACGCTTTATTGCTTATCACACGTGTTTTTTGCAGGCAGAGGCCAAGGCTCGAAATGATGGCGTTCACAGCTGAGCATGCCTGGAATGCGTAGAAGCAGCATACTCCGTTTCAAATGATATTGGAAAAGCACCTTGTTTGAGTTGATGGATGAATCAAAGAGTTTCGGCCAATCGAAACGACATGAACAGCTCTTGACGCTTGCAATGAGGTAGATGCACGAAATGCTCGGGACCAGCAGCAACAAACTGCGGAAGACAAGCCTGGACCCCTCAGCCAGCGCAGCTTGTGATTTGTCAACTGCCCAGGTGTTGGATCCTTTGGGTGGTATAATGGATGAATATGGCATAATGGTGTATTGCATAAAAGGACATAAGAAGGTAAGGGCCCTTCTTATTCCCCAGATAACTAGAGCTATTGGGGTTGTTACTTCAAGCATAGGAAGCAGTGCTTGTGTGCGCTTTGGAGCTTGGGTGATGGTGCCGCTGCAGGGTGCCGTGTTTTGCTGCCAGATGTCTATGGCGGTGCAGCCTGGATGCGGGTGCAGTTGCAGGGTGCTGCGGCCGCCCGCAAATATGTTTTGCAATTTGGGATCTATGCTGGCGTAACTTTTCTTCTCTTTTGCAATTTATATTTTATTGTTTTTTAAGAGCCCTACTGTGCGTTGAGCTTCGTTGCCAAAATTTCGAGCTTCGCCGCGCCACTTGTGTGCTGGATTGGTGGCCATTGAAGGGGCTTGAGCATGAAAGGACCGGAGCTGCTGGCAATATGTTGACTTTGGGATTGCATGCTGCGAGAGGGCTGAGTGATTGACTGCCATGGTGCTCACCAGTGCCACAGCAGCGTGGCTTGAGGTGGTGTCACCAGCCTGGCGTAGTACTAGTAGGCACTGGGCATGTTGAGATCGAATGCAGTCAGTCTCACAAATATTGCAAAGATCCATGTTCCAACAGGCCTTGGCTTCCCTTTATGATGATGGGGAGCTTGCTCGGTTGTGACTGCAAAGAGCAGGTAAACTCTAGGAGTCCATAGACTCAGTGAACAAGCGGTCAACGAACAGATTGATAATTGTAATATAGTCCAACGATGGTTTTTAACTTAACTATCCCATTTATCACACCGAAGAGGGTGTCTTCAGCACCGAGCAGTTCTTTGCATGTCCTTGATTAAGGCCTGACCTTGTTCGAGCCTGCCTTGAGGAGAAGGCCAGAAGGCAAGGTGGCAGCACTCTTTGTTTCTCAGAAAGGCAATTTGTCAGCTTGCTCGTGAGATCAGAGCGATAGAGGTACGAGGCCCTTGCTGCAGGATCAGCATCAACAGAGAAGGCACATTCTGCTTCGGAATGAGTGAGTCTGGGAGTTACCTTGGCAGTACAGCCAACCAATTTGGCTTTCTTGACTCTTCACAAGTACAAGCAAATTGGGACAATGTATCCAGCGTGTGTAGGACTGTGTAGGTCAACTGGTTTGAGGCTTGTGTGCAGCAAATTCTTGTTGGTCAAAGATGCACAGGATGAGCCTCTTGTGGACTTTCACAGAAAGCGGTCGCAGGCACCTCTTCAAGTCTGTGCTCGTTGACTTTGAGTCAACATGTATGGTTTTGTTTGATTGAACACACACACAGATATTATATATATGTATATATATATACATACACACTCTGACATTGGTTTTCAGTTAATCTATTCCCAAGTGGAAAAATGGCAAAGGAACGGCAAGGCGACAGGTCCAAGAATTTGAAGATGTTTCAACAATGGTTTTGCGCACATCTGCAGTTCACGAACGCGCGGCAGCAGAAAGCGGCTGAAGGAAAATGGTTTGGGTGAAGTATCGTGGAACAACCATGAAAGCAAAGAAGAGAGATTGGAACGGCTTGGTCAAAAGTTCAAAGCTGTCGCAGGTACGTGAGTCGAGCGACCTCGACTCATATCACAGGAAACGTGCAGCGTCTTCGTTGGTCGCTGACTGCACGAATCCCAGCGACCCCCTGCAGAAACACGAAACAAGGAGCGGAAACCCTTA